CAACACCGCCTGCACCTACAAAGTTCTTATTCTTTTTATTCGTTTCCAAGTGAAAATCCAATAAACCCTGTTTGTGAGCTTCATGTTTGCGTTGTTTGGTGCCATGCGACTTCCGCTTTTCGTTTCACATTGATTTCCGTCCAGCATTCACTACTTTCAGAAGGAAATTAGCTATTGTACTGTGTTTGTATTACCTCCTTGTCATTATAAGTATTTGTTGTTAACTAACCTTTCAATCCACTTGCAAACTAACCGATATTGATCGTATGCACAGTTTTGTATGCATTTTGAGCAGGTTCAGTTTGTCGGCACCTTTTGAACATTCATAGATGTTTATCGGTTTAATTGAGCCTCTCGAAACTAATAGATTTTATTAATTTTCTGTGTTATAACCTGGATCTTGTGACTATTACTACACCAGTCTTGAGATACCTTGCATCGACTGCCATTAACTCTTGTTCCTCCTATAGTAGCCATCGTTATTTCTACTTTTGGTGGTCTCAAGGTAATCGCCTCATCTATTCTTAGTCTGACTGAACCTAAGTTTTGCTTTTCATAGGGTTTCAAAGGTACTTCCACTACCCCTTGTTGGTCTCCTGTCCCTTGAAGTCGGTTAACATTTAAAAAGTTTAATGCGTACGATTTGTGATGAGAACTTCCCAACTCTCTGAGTGCTTTAAAATAGCATTTTTTGAAGTTTTATGCAGCATATATTTCCCCGAATTCCAAGTGTACAATACTGTGACAAATACAGCATTATCATTTTACACATTCCTTAATTTCCTGAGAAAGTCGTTATATTGCGCTGTTTCCGATATTCCTTCACTACATTTAGCAACTTACCGGATTGGTACAAGTCGGCTCTGTTCAATGAGCTCTACTTCATCTCAGATGGCGGGACTGTGTGGCTGGATCCTCTGCCATACACCAACGACCCTCGTGAAGAGCCGCCCATTGACGCAGTACGCAAACGCAATCCTCACGTTGCAATGGATCCGCTCAACCTCACTGGTCGAGGCTCCACCAAGTCGGCCTTAAGCGCCACCACCGCTAACAACCACGTCTCACCCTTCCGGGTCCGCACCGCTCACGGCCACGAGATGGGTCTCTTCGCCTACCTTGAAGGTCGGTCTACTGAGCCCTTTCATCTTATTTCTCCATTCTATCCCCTTGTACATCAGGTTCCGTACCAATTTGTTGTGGTGCCTAGCACTGAGTTTGCGTACAAGTCAGAAGGTTTAAGCCTAACTCAACCCCTTACCCAACCTTTAATAATAAATACGATTATTATCGGTTGAGTTGTTGCGTAGGTAGATCCAGTCAAGGCAATTATTTCAAAAATGCGGGCATATTCTTTATTCCATGTTAAATAAATGGATGAGTTCTTTGGTATTTCTTGAGAAAATACCCTTTTTCTGGTCGATATGAAATCTGATATATCTCTTTTCTGAGTTTGTCTTTAAAACGATGAAACTATGGACATTTGGTTGGATATTTCATAAGTTATTAATAATACTTTTAAGCTCTTTTAAGTAGCTTACCTTCTACCATGCAGTTCTTAAAATGCATGTTTTAGTCATACAACTGGATTCCAAGTGTTCCTGTTGAACTAAACTACTAATTTATAAGACATTCAGGGTTGTATTTTGCAAAGTAGGCACTGAATATCTAAAAAAGCTCTTGTTTTTGCGGTATAATTTCAGGCCCGTAATCGCGTTCAAACAGGACTACGTTTAACTTTAACAAATTGCATAACCATTCAAATTCCATTTTCCATTTCGAAAGCCATGGATTTAGGGCATTTGGAAACTTTTTTCGTCGACCGTGATTGTTAACGTTTGGTACCGTTGATAAATTTATGCCATATCCAAGGTTCCTACTAAAGATGGGAGTGGATTTCAAGTAATCATCCAAATCTAGCACGAATTATGCGGTGCCATCATTTTGCACTGCGATATTCTCAAACTGTCTATTTACTTCTTGAAGTTACCTATAATGTAGGCACGTAGTAACTTTTCCACTTCAGTTGTTTGCAGTCCTTTATTTCCCTTTTCCGCATCCAACCTATCCAAACATGTCGCATTGTTAATCAAGTTCCCCCATTCAATCGCGCAACAGTTGCGTTCAAAATTAATATTTTACGTTTTAATAGTGTAAGCAATCGTCCTTTACTTGTACCGGGCAGGTTTGTGAGTTTCTTTTTCACTTTGTTTGGATGCTTACTAACTTCCTCACTGCCGAATGTTTTCTGGATGCCTTGCTGAGACCTGAACGCTGTTTAAACTCCTTTTTGTAGTAACCTTGCTGTGATAGCCATAAATTTCAATAACCGTTTCCGAAGTTCTAAAGCATCAAGAACAAACTTTGTTCCCTTACGTCCTCCGACTGAAGCTTTCCTCAATTTCTATTTGTCTGCGCCATAAAGCTGGTGGGGCAAATCAAAATTGAAAGCACTTACGTCCACATTCACTTAGTTGTATCAAAATTGTACCCTCCAATATACGATCGAGCTAAAAAACAAGCTTTTAATGCTATGATCTAATACTGTTTTTATGACAAAATAGTAGCTGCTGCCACAGACACAACCCTGCCACATGCTTTGAAAGGCTTGAAAAAGTTCAAATTCGGGAGGCGAATCCATAAAACTCACTTTGCATCTGGTGGATTCGCTATCGTTTGTCACGGCTTTAATGTGACGTACACTTGATAATTATTCTAGGTCACGAATATCGCATGTTCAACACCTACGATGTGCACTTCAATGCCTCGTGGGCGCTGATAGAGCTGTGGCCGAAGATCGAACTGGCGGTGCTCTACGATCTTGTGGACATGACTATCTCAGAGGACTCTACTCCGGTGACTTTCATCTACAAGGGCCTCAAGGGCCCGCGCAACGCTCCTCTTGGGGTGCCTCACGATTGCGGTGACCCCGAGGGAGAGCCCTGGGTCAACGTCAACGCCTACATTATGTATCCCACCGACAACTGGAAGGATCTGTCGCCAAAGTTCATCCTAATGGCATGGCGGGACTGGAAGATCACTGGTGATGACGCCTTCCTCCATTACGTCCTACCTGTCGTGCTGGTGAATTTTGTGTTTTGTCACCTAGGATAGTATTTTGCCCTAGTAACTTGAGCATATTGAGCTTATTTATGGTACTGCAGCGCCGCCATCACTGTCCCAGACATTGTATAGCATAAGTCTATAAACTATTTTGTGATAGGGAATCAGGCAGAAATGCTGTACGTACAAAGCGAAAAGGAACCGCTATTTCTCAATATCACTATTGCTTGTGGTAGTCGATTTTGCTTAGCTATTTGCCTATCTGATTTTCGACATTCCATAAGTTTATAGTCTGTCATTTCAGACTGACTACTCGCATCGCTGTTTCATTAATACCTGTTTTAAGCATTATTGTTGAGTTAGATCTGCTTTGGTCTTTAGAGTGTTGTTCAGTCCTGCTTGGAAAAGTGGGATGCTGATGGAGATGGGATTATCGAAAACTCTGGTTTCCCTGACCAGACCTATGACACCTGGAAATCCCGAGGTTTAAGGTGAATTTTGTTGACCGTTTATGGCATTCTAAGTAGTCATGCTTCGATTTTAAATCGGAAGCAAATTTAGATTTCAAAGACATTTACCTTCTGCCCGTCTTTTCACACGCGGTTCCTTTTTCCATTTTCCTACTGAAATGAATTATCAGCCCACTTTACTCGCAAACTCGTTTATGATTTTAAGTCTTCTAACCAACATGTCACTTTAGTCGAGTGATTAGCCCATCAATCAACCTAATTTCCTAACTTTTTGCTTGATTAGAACCTTTAATGAGCCCTCTTTTTGGAATTATCAAGCCACGGAAGCGTCAGTATCCAATAGGGGCTGGCTTCTTGCGCAAGAACACAAGTGTAGCAAGTTGATTAACCTTAACTGGTCAATAACGACTTGTAGAACGTTCTTCCACATTTTCGCCTAGACGACTTGCCCAACTCCGCCGACCAGACCAAACCACTTTCCTTGATATAACGCTACGACGACTCAGCATTTTTGATAGTGGCCTTTTTGATTACACATGAGCATTTTTCAAGCATTACATCACACTTAAGGTTGAGTCCTTAAAAAATCTAGACTCGCTCCCACTGATTGTGGTCACGGTCTCGAAGACTTTCTAGGCGAGACGGTTCATCGGCCAAATCTGCTACACAGCGCACGCCCCTTAGACGTTAACATTTTTTTCGCGAACAGCCTGATTAAACCTCTTTCCTTATCCAATTCTTGCCGTAAAGAAACGCAATGAAGTGTCGGATTTCCCACGACAATGTGAAGATCGTTCTTATTTGCAGTACTAATATAACCCCCCCCCCTTGATGATGCTACCTCTCCCTTTTGTACGCAGCGCCTACGTGGGAGGACTCTGGGTTGCGGCTCTGTATGCGACTCACGACATGCTCAAACACGTGGGCAACAAGACTTTTCTCGGCGCAGTCAGGCACTGGCCCGAGGTCAACGACAATCTGTCCGGACTGCTGAAGCGCGCCAAGTCCGCTTACCACGACCAACTTTGGGGGGGTTAGCCAGGCATTTTTTTTCTGTTTCCTAGATCATTACATTACAACTTCGTTTTTTTCCGGTGAAATTCGTTATCTTAACGTCTGTTTTTCACTAAATTCCGAACATGGTAGGATCACATTCTTCTGGTTTGAGCGGCTAGGAATTCTTTACTTTCTATTCTATAAAAGATCAAGCACTGATGAAATTATGCATTTGCAAGCCAATGTACCGCCGAATTACATCTTGCTGCATGAGAATTGGTGGTTTCACATATTAATCAAATAAATTTGAACCTTTTGAGGAATTGAGTGCACTTCTGCATACGCAGGCGGGGGGAGGGGACAAAACACGCTTGTGTTTGGTCACTCACCAAGATAACGAGTGGTATAATGAATAATGGTGGGCACCAACACCAGTGCATAGCAGTGAAAATACGCCCAATCGCTTGCAATATTTACCTTACTCTGTCCCCAATTCTTCAACGAATAAGTACTGCTAAAAGCCATTACGATATAGGCGTTAGAATAGGCTATCGCCTGTCATCCTGGCTTGTAGTCGAGGGGAAATTAATGCGCGCATCCCCCCACAGGTGAATTCTACCGCTATGACAGCACCACTCCGTCGGATGCGCGGAACAACTCCGTGATGGCCGACCAGCTGAGCGGCTACTGGTTTCTCCGCATGGGCGGTGCGCCTGTTGACGCTGTGAGTTTCTCTCCTCCCGAACCATTTCAAATAGTCCGCCTTAGCCTTTTATCGGTTAAATTATTACTCGCGACTGCTATTTCAGCCGCGCAACTTTTACATGCTCAACATTACATTTTAATAGAGCTTGATCCATTATTGACTGGGACATGTAAATTTGGGATAATTCGGCCTTGTACAAAGCGATCGCCCCTACTACAAGTCACTTCCTTTCAAAGATTTTAATTATTCTCAAATTTTTTAAAGCCATCTCCGCGAAACCTTCAGAAATGTCCTTAAAATCCGTGGACTCAAAAATTTATCTTACTAATGCATCAGCTGAACATAAAATCCAAGTTCTCATGGTAATATAGCCACCATTTTCCCACATATTGGGCACATCTCATGTTGTCAAAAAATGCCTTTATTCAGAATTTAAAACGTGTGTCAGTAAATAAACCACTCTCTGACATCAACAAGATTTGCATCACTGAAAAATGATTGCACCACCTTTCACGAGTGTGATGCAGCGCCACCCGAAATACCTGAGAAACCTAACTAAAAAATTATTCTTATGATCACAAAAAAAACAATTTACGGAAGTGGAGTAAGCGTGTTACTAGGAAGCTAGTAATAAAGGTGCAATGAGAAGGAAGATTTGAATCTTGAGTTAAATCCTACCTTCTTACATTATAAACACCAGGTTTTTTGTCTGTGGCTTGCACAGCTTTGTCTACTGGATATTTTGAGTAGAACAATTCATTTGAATTCAGATTCTACCAGTGGATGCTGTGATGGGGACACTGAAAACGATTGTCAGATTGAATTGGCTCAGTGTTCGTAACGGTAAGCTCGGGGCAATCAACAGTGTCTTCTCCAGCGCCAAAACAGACAATACCAATATGCAGGCTGAAGAGTTTTGGGTCGCCGTCAACTATGGCCTTGCGGCCCTCCTCATTCTTCATGTGAGCCCCTCTTAACCCGACTGACGTAGACTTTCTGAACTCGACAATTTAATGCAGGGTTTACATTCAGGATACTGGCAGATATTACTCGGTCAAAGAAAATAAGTGCTAATCCTTCTAGTTAGAAACGCCAAGTACCGGAAATTGAAACTTGACTTGTAGGGCAAATCACCAGAGGGCTTCAGGCTAGCGGGTGTCTGTTTCGAGCATGTCTACAACCACCTAGGTCTACACTTTCAGACGCCCGAGGCATTCACAAAGGAAGCTACATACCGGTCGTTGGGGTACATGCGACCCCTCGCGATCTGGAGCATCCAGCGTGCCATCAAGATGACGCACCCGACCCATTAGATCCAAACGCTATCCCCCCATGTATGTCCTCACCCCTCTTTGCCTTCCTTACTTTGCTGCCTCTTATCTGGTTTTCATCTCTACAGACTCACCGAATGTGTCTACCTTTCATCCATGCCTTCATAACTACTTTCATGTTCTCACTAAGTCGATTCCTCAAGTGCAATCTCGGGATCGCTCAACTAGAAAACCAACGCGGTGACTTCTAAGGCAGATAATAGTAATGTCTCTTCCTGGATTCCATTCAAACATTCATTTCACTTGACAATTGGGAATTTGTGAAATGGTATCCGAAAATGCTTACTTTTTAGAAAAGTGAATAAAAAAATTACAGGTGGGATTTTCGTTCACCACATAGTTTTACTTTGTTATTCGCGTGGAAAAGTAGAGCACTCTGGGGCGGTGTTTGTGGTTTGAAGTCACACCATTTCAGGCCCTCCGCTAGGTTCCGCGCATCTTTTCGCGACTCAAATTTGCCAATCGTAAGCGCCAAAGTTGAGCCTGATCATGATCCATTTTTCTCGACAAAATATCCCTAAAAATCAGTTAACAAGGTTGCAATTCCAATTACGGCTTCGAAAAAGCCAACTGGGCGGGCTGGCTCGGTTGATACTACACTTGAGACTTTCAAACATGTCACTGATGGGAAATGAGAAGCAATGACGAATTAAATCAAAAACAGGTATCTAATGCAACGGTAAATACTATTTTAATATGCCATGCACTGATGCTGAATTTATGCAGCGGAACCCTTCACCTAATCTAATCCCTTTGGGAGGTACTTTTTCTGTCATTTCAATGGTTTTCACTGCACATCAAGTACTCGCAGGACACTCACCGCAGACACGAGAAAACCAACGTCGCCTTCTCAAACTCTCTGGCCATGATTACGCCCTTATTAATTACCTACAAGAAATCATTACAGATGGTTTACATGCCAAAACTTTGGTGATATCCGGTTGCTGACGTTATGATGACACCAATTAACACAAATAAATGGGGAATCGAGTAAAGGGCCAAAATGCCGATATAAACAACGAAAGAGGATGTTACTTCGTCTGGAATTTGTGCCAAGCGAGCGACATTAAAACCGTAGCTTTTGGGACATGCCGAGGGAACGAGCTTGTAGAGGAAGGTGATCTTCTGCGTGTCGCTACCCGCCTCCGCTTCTGCCGGCTGCTCCTCCAACCCTCCATCGCCGACTAAACATGCCTGCAGAATAACACCACAGCTTATTTCAGCAAGAGTGAGGATACCTTCACTCTAAGTGAGTCAAGTTGGGGTGACAACCGCAGCGTTAAGCAGCATTATCAATATGGACAGCAAATAACGTGGTCGAAAAGTATTAGAAGGCAGTTACAAAAGTGCATCTTTTGAAAATGGATGCCTGGTGACGAAAATACGGCAGACCATGTGCCCGATGTCGAGAGCCTCGAGGGAGGCACCGGTCCGGGATTTCTGCAGCACCTCGACGAGGTTGTGGTAGTGAGTAGAGAAGAGGCTTAGCGGACCAGAAGGGCGTGCTGTGGTGAGATAGCGGAGGACGGCAGAGGCCAGGGCGGAACCGTCTCGGGTCGAGGTACCGCGGCCCAACTCATCCATCAGTACAAGGCTGTGCGCCGTCGCGTGATTGAGGATCACGGCCGTCTCTGCCAGCTCCACAAAGAACGTGCTTTGACCCGATATCAACCGATCCGATGCTCCGATTCGCGTGAACACCCTGTCGACTGGCGTCAGACGACAACTCGTAGCCGGTATCTGACACCCCTACAGATAAAAATCTCGCCAGATATTTCGTAAGTCTCGTCGGCTACTACACCTATTCAGGAGAATGTTATTGCTCAAATAGGGATGAGAAAGAATTTTACCAGGTGGGCGAGAATGACCAGAAGTGCGGTCTGACGCATGAGAGTAGATTTGCCGCCCATATTGGGTCCAGTGATGAGAAGAGTCGTGACGCCCACCTTGAAGCCCGTCGAGGTGGCCTTCTCCTGGCCCAGAATGGGACCCAACTGAACGTCATTGGGAGTGATCTCGCCACCGGAAAAGCTTCTCACTAGACACGGATGGTAACCGCCTTCAATCTCCAGAAATGGCTGCGACCGGAGGGAGAGAGAGGGAGAGAAGGCATTAGGGAGTAATACGATGCGCCAATTGTCAATCTGGGGTAGGATATGTACCTACATACACACGTAAATTTACCTTAGTTCCAGGATCAAGAGGGTAGAATTCCGGACGACAGGTGATTGCGGCAGCGGAGATGCTGTAGTTGGCGAGAGAGATGAGGCAATCCAGTTCTGCAATGCACCTGATGGCCGCCTGCCAGTTGGAGTAGCTTAAAACAAGAGAGAAGCATCATGATCGTCAACTAGTCTTTGTAAGGCCAATAGGAGATCCAGCACTTGGTGTTTCGGATAGTGATAAACGAAGAATATAAACGTTGTAAAGTAGGTAACTACCGTGTAGCTGGCCCAAATCCCCAAAAAAATTTATCGCTAGGATTCCCGTCAACCAGGCCACCCCATATCCACCACAAATGGCATACAGCATCAATGCGTGCTATTTGAAGGGCAGCGTTGACAGTATCTTAACCCTTAATATCGCTTTTATTAAAGTGAGTCTGTTTAGAATCTGCCAGTCAGGGAAGAAGACAGTAGTTGAAACAAGTGGAAAACTTCGATATTTTTCACCTTTATCTAGCAACGCCAGGATAGTCTAGTGCTTGCAGACATTTGGCTTACCTAGCAACAAAAAACTCGAAGTTTAAAGCTGAATTTAGACCACTTAGAGTACTAGAGTCAAGGCGTGTATACTAAATGAATGAGAAATTTTACCATTGGATTGCCTGAATTTTCACTCGACATGTATTGGGCCATAATTACGTGAGTATTTGGAATTCAATATGAAAATAAGGAATTTTCTCAAAGTGGTTTGGTTGCAAATTTTGTTCGGCACGGTGAAGCAACTGATTCAATTACGAAGTGATTAGCAGCACAACAGTATTTTGTGCAAGATTACCCTAAGGAAGCTTCAATCCATGGTGAATACTAAATCAAGGCGATACAAAATGAAGAGCCAGTGTGACAGAACTGGTAGTAGTACCTGGAGCTAAAGGAGGCAAAGAGACGACGCATGATGCCCTGCATGCTCTCCTGCTTGGCGTCTTCGGCAATAACGAGGCGTGCGAAGAGCTCCTTGATGGGGGGTGGACGAAAGCGACGAAAGCCCTTTCGCTGGCCCGTTGCCTCCCAGGCATGAGGCACTCGATCCATGCACGTCTCTGGCACCTCTATCTGAAAACGGTTCTTCCCCGTCCCCGTGTAGGTCAGCTGCTCCCACACAAAGAAAGATTGCCCTTAAACATACAACGGTCCCGCTATGCTTACCAAAAATAGTTTTAATGAATATGACTAGGTTGATGGATTCTCCCTCCTCCATAGGGCAGATAATTACGCTTAAATCGAGCCTCCGCCAGTGGTGGGAATCCGCTTGAAACGCCCCTCAAGCTTAAAAGGGATCACTCGAGTTGACCTCAAACCGTCTGATCTCCGTAAACGCTACTTTCTCCAAGTACTACAGTTCACCGACAGTCGAGTAAGTTTTTCACCACATCTACTTCTAGGCCTTAATCATTGCTGGCATATTTTCAGTCTCACTTTTCGTCAAGACATTATTCAGGACTTTATGTGATAATTAATAACATTGAGCTATACTTTTACCCCATTACTTGCAGATTGGTGCCACCTGCACTGAGATTCAGCGCCATCCCAACGGTGGCAATAAAGTGTTTCTTACCTGACAGCCAATCAGGTCACTCTGTTCAGCTAAGAAATCTTCCATATCCATTTCTGCTCTCTGCAATAGAAAGAATAATGACGATTACCGACGCTTTTGAGAAAGCATTAATTGTCGCATCTGTAAAACCTGTTTTCGTAAGCAAAAGAGTAGCTAACATGAAACGGAACTGAAGATTCTACCTTCGTCGAAAGGACATATCTTTTCCAAACAATTACACAAAGAGTTTTACCCTGCTGTGTCAGCTCACCTCAAGGCCTTCGCAGGCTTTATCGAACTCGGGGTCGAAACCCGGCTCCACAACAATGCAGCCATCGCGTTTGGCCTTTTCATGATCAAATGCTTTCTGAAACGGATGTAAGCTAATAAAAACCAAAGTAATGGTCACTTTCAGTGTGTTATACAAAAGAAAACTTGCGGCAGAGTGCACAAGATTTTTTATTATTTTGGGCTGATTAAACATCCATAGATGGGGTGATTCATTCGCTCGATGAAAGAAATATTGTTTTCCGCATCTCTTTGTTATCAAGCCTTCCTTTCACACTTGCTTTCAAATAACCAGACTAGTATAGCTAAAGAATTCCTTTTGCCTTATGCATAAAACGACGCGAAGGGCATGCGTTCTACTTTGAATGAACTATGCAGCACTAAAATGCTGATGCAGTTTTATTGTTAGTATGCCGTTTTAATTTGCAAAACTTGTCCGCAACCTTTCAGCGATGCAAGTGTTCAATTATCTCTCTCAAAAAAGGTGTTCTTGTAGATCCTTCCCAGTCGCACACTTAAATTTCATGAGTAGTCTCAAATGTATTCTGTATTATTAATTCAAAAACTCGGAGCTATTGATTGCTCCCATTCCTTTAAGTGAGTTTCGCAAGCGCTTCCAACGAAACACAGTTTGGCAAATTGGTCCAACTTATAGTGCCAACCTTAATGAAGGTAGCACTTTACTGCAGTCCAGGCCACCAATTAAATAAGAGCAAATAATAGAGGCCATTTGAAAAGCATCCCAATCTACCAAATCACCCAATAATCCTCTGGTTCACATTAAAGGTAAACAAACAAATACGTAGGAGTACATGAAGTATCCAAATGTTTACACGACCCGAAATGAAAAAAATTAAGGCGTAGAAGACCGCATGTGGTAAAAATGAACTTAAGCGGTGGTCAATAAAGGTGCACCCTCCATAGACTTACGTCAAATAATGAAAGTTCCTCACTATAATTGGGAAAAGCTCCACCCTCTTCACGCAGGGAGGCAAGGAAACGCAAGAGCTCAGATCTGCATAAGTGCGTACGGAAAAGAAAGCCTAAGTACAAACTTTGCATTGAGAATGGAAAAAATATCTCGTAAAGACAGATATCACTACCAGGACACAACTGACAAGACATACTTGACGCCGAATCGCGAGAAGTCCTTAATGATGAGAATGGCCGACTTGAACCCACATAGGGCGAGGAGAAAATCCATAATTTTCCTTTTCGAATAGATAGTCTCATCGACCACAATAGCTCGGGACTCCGGATGATCAGGTCTAGTGGCGTTCCATCCCATTATGTGGATTCTTTTAAAAAAATGTGCATGAGTTTCATGGTTCAAATGTGAACAGCACATGTCTTAGCAGCGTGTGCTATGCCTCGCAGAACACCAAAAGTAAAGTGTCCCAAGGGGGCAGAAAATAATGTTCCCCGCAGAATTCGAGTGTTTTGCATTCAATGTTAGTCAAACTTAGTGATCGATAATGAAATGCAAGTATGAACAATAAAGCACAAAGCAAGCATGAAGTTTTGGCATATAGGTAGTGATACTAACGAATAACCGCTAGACAGAGCGAGAGGCAAGGTAGGGCAGGCAAAGTGGAAATACTTACTTTGTAAGAAGTCGCTCAAGATCTGGCAGACGTCGAAGAGCATCACGAACACTCTGCAGCTGGGGGGACAAGTCCATCAGTTCCTGAATGGCGTCTTGACGCTTAGTTATAGAGTTAGGGTGACAGGGTGGGCTCACTACCCACGTTCTCAACAGACGTCGACCTAGAATTTGCAGAAAATGTTCGCTCCCGTTATCAGAATTTTCAGATTACTTGATTAATGCGGAGTCTTATTTAAACCACATAGCCATCATACTTATCGCTAGTTAACCAGCTTCGACATGGAATTTACATCACTAAAGATGCACAAAACCAGACTCACCGAACGGTGTACAACATGAGTCCAGCCTCTCAAGGAGAGTGCCCTCTAGTGTTCCATTGAAGTTGTTTGTTAGGATTTCGAGATTCTCCATAGTTACGCTATCAAGAACCTACCAAGAACAATAAAACCCGAAAGTCACTTCTTGTAAATACTTATGAAGAACCAATTCTGCTAAGGGTATAACGCTGCTTATTCCTTAAACGATCATGGTATAATCAGTGGTTGGTCTTATTTTTTTACTATCTATTTCCTAACAGAATAAGCGTGAAGTCGGCAAATTTATTGTAACAAAACAGCTTCTGGCAACCACGGTTTTTTGAAAGTAGAGGCCACACGTTTGCTTTCAGTCCAACAGGATCACGCGTTTCTGTACACATTGACAGTTCTGTTAGCAAGCAGAGCACAAAAAACCTTAGGCACAGAGGCCTTTTTAACCTAAGATTTACGTAACCAACAGATGCGCTGATTGGTCTGCAGAGAAAAAAGTAAACTGAGGAAAACGTGACATCTTCGAGTTGTTCTAGGGCAAGCAGGTTAGTCAAATTCGTGCGCCTGAAAGTAAGTTTACTTGCCTTCCTAATCCTCACCCCCGGCCCATTCTTTTACGATCTATCAACTACACCAGGATCGTCGTCTCTTCACAGAACCATATACAATTATAGGCAATGTTAACTATCTACCAGTCTACCGAGTAAAAATGCATACTTTGTTGAGATGTAAGATGTTTGACCAAAGAGAGCCTTACCATGTTGACCTGACGCTCATAGAAGGGTTGGCCAAGAACGAGCGCTGAGGAGACATCTGCAGGGCGATACTCGTGGATAAGACCCAGAGAGAGGATCTCCGTGTCGGTGAGGCAGTAGCGCAGGTAAAACACTACTGCCCCGAGGCACCGAACTGCCAATTCGTACCCTGGTAGAACATTCCTCTCCAGCGTATCGACTGAAGAAAAATTGAGAATTTGATTATTCGAAACCACTCATGACCAACAGCTTTTGGCCAGTTAGCACCACAGACGTTAGTGTAAATTCACTTCCTATTTCCTAAAAATATTCTAATTAAGTAGAGCACATTTGTGCTGTGGTATCAAACAAACGAATTACAATATTCAGTTACGTCATTCATTCGCAGAAGATAGAATGTACAGGAAATCCACTTCTATGCAAGGAAAATAACAAATGAGATAAATTGCACTCAGGAAATTCATTAAAAGATTGAAAGTTGAAGTAATATGAGTGAAGTGGACAGCGGCGCAGATACTACCGGGATCAAGCATTCGGAGGAGGTCGGCAGGCCAGCAGTCGACCTTGGAGAGGTGCGAGGGAGCGGTGCCCGCGGAGGACGCGCGCTGACTCGGGGCGAGGGTGAAGTAGTCAGCCGATTCCAACGCACAGATAGTCTCATGGGCCGAGAGGAACTGCTTTCCTCCCGCCAGCCCTTCGAATGGCACACTCGGCAAACGCGCCTTCAGCATCCTTCGCAGCTTATTGCTCAGATTGCCGCGTTCGAAGAGGATCTAAACACCATTGAGAAGATAGCCGCTTATCAGTACGTGTGTGCAAAGAGTACAAAATTTGCTCCACCGTTCCTGTCAACACCTGAATAGAGCGAGTGTTATTTCGAGAGCATGTGGTGAAGTCCGGCAGACATCTTGTAATTGTTCAAATAGTCCAAAAATTTCCAATGGTGCTCATTTAAAAACTGGATTATTTTCACAGCAAAAGGGGTAGCGACCGGTCATTTCAATAAAGAGCGCAAAAAGTGAGTATTTTAACTGTCAAGTAGGCTTCAAAAGGGCCCACTGATTAGTAACATTACCTGGGATGGGGGAAAGTGGGCGACTATTGTGCACATTCGAGAGTAGTGGATATCGTCTGAGAACTGACCAATCTATAAATGCAAAAAAAACAGATTTATGGAGAATTGATACAGCTTAACCCATAAATTGATTTCCGTTGAACGAGAAACAGCTGAAATGCAAGGATGACCAAACGAACCCCAATAAGCATGGATCCTATTTCGTTAAAAGAGGGGAATCTAAACATCTACAATTACTCGGCGCTGATAATCCCTCCAAGTGTATCATAAGTTTAAGCACTTCATGAGTTTAGGTGCACTTCACTTGAGCGTTCACTTCAGTGGAGGGCAAAGAGCATTATACTTGCTTCATTGTTCCGCAGAGGTTCAGAAATCATCGGTTTCGCCAAATTAGTTTTCGGTGTAACTTAAAGGGAAACTTTTAGTAAGTACCAAGAACGCACTGGTTAAATGCAGAATTAGACCAAATGCTGAAATGCCTCGCAGAAAAAAGCGGGGGTAACTTAACATAATTTCTCCAGTAGCTGCTTTTAGAAGGGCGATGCCGAGCTGAGTCTCTGATTTTTCGTTACCTGACCCCTCGAGAATCACTAGAAGATAACGATTGAACATGAGATCGGTCTCCATTTCTGAGTGACTAATAGGCTGGGAAGAGGATGTTGCACAAGATACATCAAGAGCGTTATCTGAAGAAATCCCATTACGCAGAGGCGCAAACCAGGTACCAGGAGTGATAACCTGGCAGATTTCCCGACGGACAACCCTGTCTACGCCTGAGCGACCACTTGTCCGCTTGGTCATGGCTTCCGGTGTCTCAGTTTGTTCCACTCGGGCCACTTTGTAACCCTGAAATCAAAAATTGCATTGAAACAATAAAAGATCCTCATACTATTGTAAAGAGTTCCATTACTGGAGTATTTATCATTCAATATATACATTATTTCATGCACAAATGTGGAATTTCTAAATGAGAATAGAAATGACCGAATAACATTTAAAAAATTTAGGAGCAATCCAGGAATCAGGATAAATGATTGTACAAAGTGCTACTTGTGCAATCATACACGATGGAGGAGATGATCTGCCATTCGCTGAAAGGCAATCTCTGGAAATCCGGAGTGTGCAAATTCTCCTTTCATATAAGTCAACTTGAGTTCTTCTACAGCAATGACAGCATCCATGTGATAGAGTTCATAGAATTTCCCCATTTTGAAGAACAACAAAGTATCAAAATTCTGAGACTTGAGAATCCACCACTGCCGCAGAGCAGGTGACTGCTTCCGAAGGAAGTCCTCTGGGACGAGTAGAGTTCTCGGATCGTAATCAGGATGGGCAGGACGATGTCCACACGCGTCTTGAATTCGGTCAGGTAGCAAAAATGGATAAGTGAGGTGCGGCCAGGCAAAACTCCTACTTCCATCAACTGGATCCATTGTGAAGCATGAGTCCACAGCAGAAGTGTTGAACAAGTCGTTTGATGATGTTTCTAAAAAACGCTTTTTCATGGAGACCACCGAAGAGCATTTTGATCTCGCCGACGAAGAGGAGAGTTTCGGTGAATTTGTTACGTCTCTGGCAAATCTTTTACTTGGACATGAATACAAATTCGTAAGCGATTTCTCCTGAGGAATATCGGATACATCACGAGGGGAATTCTCATTTTCATCATCACTTGAATAAAACACGAGACGCCTTCTCTTGGAACAGCTCACCTTAGGTGAGAAATCTTCATCGACCTAAAAAATAGAATAAATAACAAGTTTTGGGGATTCCCAGTAAAAAAACTAGACTCTCGGTGCGCAACAGCACAGCAAGTTTAACCTTTCCATAGAACAAAATGACCAGAACACTGCTATTTACCCCCAAACAAATACATTTTGTGAGCTGAATCAATGCATATCCTCGGCGCAAAGGAGCAACAAACTAACAATTACAAGAGGTAAACTTGCATTCATATTGACCAATATTTTGGGTGAAGACCCCGCATTTAGGGAGCTACAAGAAGGTTCGACTCCAGTAACCTCATTTTTATATGAGTCTTTGTTTTTATCCGGCACTTTTGAGAAAAAATTCAAAATCGACCTCTGCATATGCGAACTTGAAAACGAACACTGGAATCAAGGGAGGCACTGAACGATTTCGATAAAAGTCAGACGTACCACTATTGTACAGCATCAGTATATCTCAAAAGAGGCCATAAATGGACATTAAAAGGGATACAATCCAGTTTTTTTGAAATTAATGAAATTCTTTCACCAAAAAAAAATACTGGATATCTAAGGAAGTTTTAACAGTTCTGTTAACTTTTTAGGAAAAAGGCAACAAAAATTTCTCTCCTGGAATCAAAGCGCACAACTTAAAATACTAGCAATTAAGATATTTAGCTATTAGAGCCTGATTAAACTTGGTAGCTTAAAGTGCAAACGGCTGGCAAAGTGTGCCTCATCAATGCACCTACGAAGGCACCCTAGTTTGCGAGTCAAAAGGCACATTTGCCTTTGTCTGTTCGCTAAAGTGCAAATGGTATACCCTTATGGCAGTATCAAAATATTTTTCCCTACTGATAATAGCCCTGTTAGTTTCATGGGGTTATTATAGACAACTACTTTAGTAAATATCATACAAAATGTGCTAAAGGTAAATAAAGGTCAAAATAAAATGCTTAAGGTTACCAAGGCTCTAGGCGATACAACGGAACCCTATGTTCAGCACCCAAAGGCTTCCTTGAAGGCCAAAGCGGACATAATAATGGTGCAATACGGTGGTGGTTTATCCCTCGTTATTGATGAGGCGCCATTTTTAAACTTTTGAATTCGCCTTCTTGTGCCTCGCTGGGTGGGCTGGCCTTCAAGCCATGCCAGTAGCCCAGACACCTTCTCTGTGTTGAATGTATTGTAATACGATAGTGGTTTATCCCTCGGTATTGGTGAGGCGCCACTTTTGTACTTTGAATTAGCCCCCTTGTACCTCGCTGGGTGGGCTGGTCTTTGGGGCCATGCCAATAGCCCAGACACCTGCTCCGTACTGAATATATATTCTGCCCAAGTATTGCGTATTCTTTCGTCTTAAGGGAGTCTCGGGACGCTACAGTAGGATAGAATACATGTATTCGACATAAGGCTGGACTCGAGCTAGCGACACCACCCGGAGGCCAGCCAGCAGGAAGAGGCTACAATGAAGGAGAACCAAAGTGGTCCCTATACCAAAATCGGGAGCTACGCAACCAACGTATTGCACTGGGCACTCTACTGCAAAAGAGGATTGGAAAAATGCCGGCGTGACCCAAATATAAATTCGCTGCGTGGAACTGCAAGCGCATTTTAGCCAACTCTTAAACAATCTCCAACATACTCCAGTAGACCATGGCACAGTTTGTGACAGCAAGCGCGAATTTAACACTCAAAGTAAGAGCACGCTGCCTATCTTCAAAAAGACATAGCAGCTTTTACAATTAAATAAGCTTGGATTTGTTTGTTAAATTCCAAGCTTCCAATGGGGGCAACCAAGTTTTCTGAGTAATATAAACATTGTTTACACTTTCGTAATGCATGGTTTGCGCACAACATTTTTTGCTTTATGGCATTTTGGCCAGTGTATAGCTATGTTATACCAATTAGAGCAATTTTGTTTAATTTTTTTTGTCAAATTTTTGTTTTATTTTCCTAGTCCAATATAATGCAGGTTCTAGGTCATGCCTCACATTTGCGCCCTTTTGCTTTTGTGATGCCGCCTCAGAGGCGTTGGACCCGCGAGGCCGCTGAGCGTGATAGCTCACTTTATGTCGTGAAGAGAGGTACATTGTGGAATTTTACATCCCACGGCTTTTCTAGATGGAAGGCATGAGAATATATGTTGTGAAAAAATTTCAAAAAGGTTACGTCGTCTTTGTGATGGGCTTCATGAAGAATTCATCGATATTGTACGTCACTTTCCTGCTGCTAACCCCTTTTGTGAAGCAAATATCAAGCCTTTTGATTTTTTTGCTCGCGTAGAACCAGATAACTGACAAGGTTGTGGAGGGTTTGTTTGCTGGAGTCTCTACCTCGCAGTTGGATTCTCTTGCTGCTGAGATTTGTGCAAGTTTGATAACTAGACATTACGACCATGGTGTTCTTGCAGCCCGTCTGTTTGTGTCGAATTTACATAAGGAGACTCCATGCAAATTTTCTGATGTGATGGAAGACCTGTACAAATACATCAATTCTAAAACCAAAATGCATACGCCAATGGTCTCTGATGAGTTGATTGACATAGTTAGGAGAAATCGCGATCGAATAGACGCCGCCGTCGATAGTCAGCGTGACTTTGGCTTCAACTACTTCGGTTTGAAGGCATGTTTTTCTTGCGAATCCCAGAGGATTCAATCATGCAGAACATAGTAGTCATTTTATCCACATTTTAGACGTTAGAGAAATCGTATCTTCTTCGTAGGGATGGAAAAATTTGGGAGAGGCCCCAGTATATGTTTATGCGCGTCTCTATCGGTATCCATGGTGAGGATCTTGATGCTGCTATTGAGACGTACAATCTCATGTCCGGAAAGTGGTTGATTCATGCTTCACCCACTCTTTTTAATGCTGGGACGCCTATTCCTCAGATGTCCAGCTGCTTTTTGCTTACGATGAAAGATGACAGTATTGAGGGCATATATGACACGCTCAAACAATGTGCACTTATCTCAAAAAGTGCTGGTGGAATCGGTCTCAATGTTCATTGTATCCGGAGTAAGGGCACTTTCATCGCTGGGACTAATGGCGAGTCCAACGGTCTTGTACCGATGCTTCGGGTCTTCAACAGTACTGCTCGGTATGTTGATCAGGGGGGCAATAAGCGACCCGGTGCCTTTGCCATTTATCTCGAACCGTGGCATCCGGATGTGCTGCAGTTTGTGGAATTACGGAAGAACACTGGTGCCGAGGAAGCTCGCGCGCGAGATCTCTTCCTTGCACTTTGGATTCCGGATCTATTCATGAAGCGTGTTGAAGCAGGTGGCCCATGGACCTTTATGGACCCCCACGAATGCCCCGGTCTTGCTGACTTTTGGGGGGAGGAATTTGAAACGCTCTACACAAAGTACGAGTTAGAAGGTCGAGGTCGCAAGACGCTACCTGCCCAGGAAGTCTGGTAAATCTCAATTTCTTTCCTTCTATTTTTATTTCCGTTTATGCTTTAGGGATTTCTTCGTTGTAGGTATTCTATCATTGAAAGTCAAATTGAAACGGGCAATCCGTTTATGTTGTACAAGGATTCTTGCAATCGCAAATCCAATCAGCAACACCTAGGGACCATAAAGTGCTCAAATCTTTGCACTGAAATTGTCGAGTACAGCTCGCCTACAGAGACTGCTGTCTGTAATTTGGCTTCCATTTCCCTTCCTAAATTCGTGGACACAGCCTCAAGGAGCTTTGACTTTGCCGAGTTGCAGTATGTGACTGAAGTCATAACGAAAAACCTTAACAAAGTCATTGATAGGAACTATTATCCTGTTGAAGAGGTTTGCGTTTATCAATTTTCTTTTCATGCTGTCACACTGAATGCTTATTTATGGTCTGTACCCTCCACAGGCTCGAAGGTCGAACATGCGTCACCGACCGATTGGCATTGGAGTCCAGGGTCTCAGCGACGCCTTCGTTCTAATGCGATATCCGTTTGATAGTCCAGAAGCGGCGGCGTTAAATAAACGCATTTTTGAGACGATATACTTCTCGGCTTTGAATGCTTCTTGCAAGTTGGCGGAGACGGATGGTCCTTTCGAGTCCTACTCGGGATGTCCCGTTAGCAAAGGTGTTCTTCAGCCTGACATGTGGGGTGTCGACACTGATGAATTGTCGAGAATCTCAGGACTTGATTGGGCCGGTCTTCGTCTGCGCATCAAAGAGTCAGTTCAGTTGTGTGCTTTTATTTTGGTTCTTGGCGTGTCTTCCCGTCTCTTCACGTTCGTGTCTGCAGGTTTGGAGTGCGCAATAGTCTCTTAATCGCTCCTATGCCCACGGCCTCGACAGCTCAGATTCTAGGTAACACAGAGTCGACCGAACCAGTGACCAGCAATGTGTTTGCTCGTCGTGTTCTGTCGGGCGACTTCCAAATCGTTAACTCACACATGCTTCGTGATCTGATTGACCTCGGCATTTGGTCGGACCACCTAAAGACGGCGATCATTTCTAATCAGGGATCCATTCAAGATATTGACGGAATTCCGGAGGATCTCAAAGCGCTCTACAAAACGGTTTGGGAGTTACCTCAGAAAAAAATACTCGATTTGGCAGCTGATCGTGCTCCATTCATTGACCAAAGCCAGTCTCTTAACTTGTACATGAAGGAGCCCAACTACGGGAAAATCACGAGCATGCATTTCTACGCCTGGAAACGTGGGCTCAAAACGGGAATGTATTATCTGCGCACTAGGCCTGCTGCCGACCCCATTAAGTTCACCGTCAACAAGAAGGAGGTCAGCGTCATTTTGGCTGCCGGTTTCGGCAAGACCGTCTCTCTCGCTGACAAGGAGAATCAGAGCGGGGAGGTGGTCGAAGCAACGAAGTTGGTGGAAAAGGCCTACAAGAAGAATCTGGAGACGATTGCGTGTTCACTGAAGAATCCTGACACTTGTGTCAACTGCTCTGGCTAGTTTAAATGCCCTGTGTGTAAATAACTACGAATTTGCTCATTTTCCTGTTGCAGCCAAAAGTATGTACTTCTGAGTGTGTAACTACCTTCACTTTCTGGTTAACGTGCGCGGGTTTTGCGGAAGATGGTGATTTTGCTACAAAGACCGCATTTTAGTATGAAGAGGGTCTTGGGGTTGGGGCGAATGGGGAGGGTTGATGTTGAGACATGTTTAGTCCGCGTGGGTAGTTAAATTGGTCTGCGTGCGGTTTTGGAGGCGGTCTTGTGTCGGAACGCACTAGATGCTTTCTACGGCGGAAAATGCCACTGCTTCCATAGTTCGTGATGCGTCTTATGGTGTGGTGGTCCAATATTGGCGTGGGAGTGGTACATTAATGGGTTTTGCTTTGGAGAGGGTAAAATCCCTCACTGCTAAGTGTATTATTGCTGTAAAAAGACTTCCACGGGAGCGAATAAATCCCACTCGTTGAGAGGTCTATTATCGCAGCATCTGTGCCGAGCAAAACCGAGTGTCGTGGTCTGTGTGGTCATCGTATTGCTATTAGCGATCCAGTTGAGCGGCAACGAATAGGACCGCGTTTCCTTGAATTTACAGAGTTTGGAACACTGTTGAAGGATGCACGTCGACGCAAAATTACTCTAGCTCCCAGAGTGAAATAAGTGGAGCTCATATTACTCAGTTATTATATTTTACAAATTTCATGCGCATTATAGTATTGCTCGGTTATCAAGTATGATTATGCATGCAACACACTTGAACTTGAATGCATGTTGAATTATGATCCGGCGAAGAGTGCTGACACGAAAGTGTTAGTAGTTCGCGTCCGCAACGCTTCCGCAGTTGCTTTCATCCTCACCATCATTAAACGGTTTCGCTGAACGCTTTTTTTACTACCCATATGGTGGAGCTTGAGGATTGTAAAACTGTTGATCTTGGTCAACGAAAGAGGAGACGTTCACCAAGGCATTAGCGAATAAAAATGTTGCCCTGATCCAAAGTTCCTAACTCTCGTCTAGATTTATTATTCGTACGGTTAAGTAAGATGGCGATTTGCCTTACAAAAAGAATTATAACAATGTCGAAGTTCGCTCCGTTCTTTAGTTCCGAAGGGAAAATTTACAAGTTAGAGGGGTGGGTAGGGTTACTGGTTGCTATGGCGTAAACATGCGGATTGGGAGTGCTCCCATTTTTGTAGAATTGAATGCAGAGTCGGTGCGCGATTAGCGCTTTGTGTCCAAATCGCAAGCATATTACCGTCCAACAGCCAACGGCAGACCACCCTCCCGCTTCCCCCTACTCAAACACAGAATCCATCACCAACGCTACTGAGTGCTCACAATCCTGGTCCAACAAATTAAAACGTCCTGGTCAATTGCATTTTAAGAGAGAGTGTCCACGCAGTGCTCGACTTTGTTGGCCAAAGTTTGTAGAAGCTTTATTTTCTCGATTGTATTGCGAGTGAATGCTGTTGCTCAATCATTACACACGGGAACACCGGAAGCAACCAACGATGTATGGGATTATTTACAACCATGAAGTTTATAAAAGCGCAAAGCTAGAGATGCTTCAAAGATTCTCTGTTTCCCACAGCTGGCTGAACTTCTACAAATAAATTTTACGGGTCATCAAACCCAAGGGCCATTTTAGCATATGCAAAATACGTGCATACAAGGTACATGCGCTTAACTAGTCCAATAATGAATCAACTACCGTTTAGTTGAGACAAAGCGAAGTGCACAGCTGTGTGGCACGACAAAGTTGGTACTTTTTCCTCTTTCGGGGGAACGTTGGATTGACGGCTGGAGATAGTTTCATCCATCTACTTTCCATTGGCCAGGCTTGACGCAAAAATGACGTCACCATGGTGGGGGACTGATCAGCCACATCGTCTACCTGCGTTCCCTCCCACATGCTTTGAGGGCACAGGCGATGCGTCAGCGCCGTTGCTTGTTCCGTAGATAGGCCTGGGCCAAGGTGTAGCACCGTCATTCAAAGTCACCTTACAATTGGAACTGAACTTCATAAAACTGAAGCATGTTGAATCTGATTAGGGTATACTTTAGCTATGACTCACACATTGACACCAGTAATTGGGGTTACCTAAAATTTGTGCTTCTACTAACAATTTGCCAATTTAATGAATCTAATGACAATTATTGGTCGTTATTCCCTGAACGTAGGTGGAGTCGGTTTTCTAGATGCAGCGGCCCAGTGAGTAGTTTTGAAAGTCGGTAAAGCAAAAGGTAACAACACTGGAAAGAGCGGTCCTTAAGCGTCTAAACGCATTGTATCCCAAACTGTTGATAATAGCACATGGAATTGGAAGACGCTGAGCTGCAACATGTCTTCTATTGATAACGTTGAATATTTTGAGGAAAACCCTCAAAGTGTAAGCTGGCCATAAGAGCCTGTTTCCATACTTTCACCATAATGAGCACAGTCGAATACTTGTTCCTCTAAAATGAGTAATCACCTCCTACATGGTCGAAATGTCTATGTGGATACAATGTGGCGGTCTGGAAGTTCAGCTGGATTTAGGTCAGGACTATAATACGCAACTTGAATCAAATAGTGGAGCGAACGTGATTTCTAGTCTACCGGGGTTTTTCGATCCATATAACCCTAAGCGCTACGTAAATAGCATGCATAAGCGCATCGCAGGATTATTAATTGTAGAGAAATAATAGACGGCTATTAAGAAACAGGAAACGCTTCTCTAAACGGCTTAACTTTTAATCATCACGGCAACTAAGGACTGTTATTTAATTTTTACGAACTACTGAAAATTATGATTAGTAAACTAGCTTAAGATGTCGGGAATATTTAGACTTTGCAACATGGCACAAAATTATTGCATGGTTGTTTATATATGTTTAGCTTTGACCGCCAAAGTAGCTCTCTCAGTTCTTGCCTGAGTTCTCACCGCTCGTTATGCTTCAGAAAGAGAAACGTGAAGACGAAAGTAGGAAAAAAAGGAAGCGATCGCGAAGTCGTTCAAAAGACAGACATATGCATAAGGAGTCCAAAAAGCCCAAGGACAAAAGGCGGAAAATAGCTGGTGACGGAGGTATGGGCTCTATCTCGTTAACGGATATGGGAGCAGGTGAGATCGGAGATCCTGGTACAGCCGAATCGCTTTCAATCGAAGAAACGAAGTAATCTTTACTATTCTAATTGGCCATGTAGCAAACTTCGGGCGAAGTTGGGTCTTTCACCCCTTGATCTGGGCAACGTTTCAAAAGCTGACTCTGATGAATGCAAACCGAGAAACAGCGATACAGAATTTGTACATGTTCCTGCAAAGGACTTAACGAGAGCAAAACAAGTGGAGAAGTTGCAAGAAAAGATCATCACTGCGAAGGAGAAACGGGAATTACTAAGTAAATTGAGGGAAGTCAAGTCGCTGGGTTCTGGTGAAGAGACCAGTGTTTCCTCTTGGGTAGAGAAAATGAGATCAAAGGAGAAAGCAAAACTAGAGGCTGAGAAGAGGGTATGTTGAGGATTCGCATTGTAATGAGTCTTAGGAGCAAATGCTGACTGAAATGGATGCTGTATTTGGAGTTTCAGCTGTGGTCGAGGAACGAATCAGGCCAAAAAAACTTAAAGTAGTGTCCAGTTTCAACTATTTTTTTTCTAGCCTGAGTATTCATCAGCATCACTAGAAGGTCTCAAAGTTGAGCACAGTGTTGACCGTTTTTCCGAAGGAAAACCCATTATCCTAACACTTAAGGACAGTGGTACGCTTTTTACTCTGTGGATTTGGATTTTGCACATTACTTACTGTCCGCTAGTTGTTATTGTCCTTGATCGCACCTTAGATTAGGGGCTTATTCTTTCGTTCTCACCAAATTGCCCATACCAATAAAATTTTGCAGCGTAAATAAACATTACGTAAATTTTAATGCTGAAAATGCCTGTGACTACTGTTGACGTCGTAGACGTTTTGACTGAGGATGCATCCGATGTGCTGACCAATGTAAACTTGGAAGACGAAGAAAGAGCCGAAAAGAATCGCGAGAACCAGCGAAAACTTGCGGGTCTTGGAGGCATTTTGCAAGATGAAGATGAAGATGTGGTTATGGGTCTCCGGGCGAAGGGGATTCTGGAAAAGTACGATGTGGAAATTAGTGGACCGAAGAAGGCCGAGTTTATTCTTGAGGCCAACGGCACCTATGCTACGGACCACGAACGTACCTTGCGTCGACTGCAGGAGGAACTTCAGACTACTCGGGTAAGGTGGCAACCGATTTTAGGCATAAAATGGTTTGTTGCCTTAGGCTTCATCCGGAGTCGTTTATTACTGGAAATCTATGCACTGCAAATTTCAGCTTAATTTACGACTTTTAGCGAAAAATTTTTACATTTTTCATGACAAGAATTTAAGCAAAGCTTAGGCGGAGTACAAACACTAAAAATTTTTGCTCACATCAAATTGCGATGAATTTTTATATAATCGTAAGTCGTTGCGTTGGATATAGCAAAGTCTGGAAGATCAGGAGTTGCGTCCAGCAGCTGATTTTTACACAGCGGATGAGATGGCTCAATTTAAGAAGAAGAAAAGGCGAAAGGTGCAGCGGAGGATTCTGCGCGCGGACGATTTGATTCCAGACCCAGGGGCCGCATCCACCGTCTCCACCGATCACGGTTCGCGCGGCCGTCGAGAGATGCAGGAGACGGCTGGGCCGGCGCTGAAGGAGGAGGGTGAGGTGGTGGACGTGAAAAAGGTCGAAGAGGATATAAAACCGCCAGCACTCGCTCCTTTGACTGGCTTGAACCCCGCCATTGCAGCTCTCCTCTCTGTCCAAACTATTCCTGAAGAGGAAGAGCAGATCGATACTGGTGATGAAGGTAGGATTTTGTTCAAATAAGCGATTACATTAGTTATTTAATTAACTAACTTTAAGTTAGTGGTAAGCATGGTTAGTAGGGGCAATAGGATGTATTATGATTTCAGGTAGACTGTTAGTCATTTCAACACTAAACAGCATCAAATCACTAAGTATTTGTTCAAAAAGATGAGGATGATGGTTAATTTGAGTTAAACGGTGCCAATGCGTTTTTGGGTGGTAATGCTGATTGCTCTGGTGTTTTCATTCGATATAAATCATTTTCGAATGGACTTATGTTAGTCTATCGCATATTGTTGTAATTTATTAATCAAACTCCTTTTCAGGAGTAATTCATATGAAGTTTTAGAACCCACTACTTGATAAACCAATTCATCGTTGCCTAAAAAACCTAAAGTCAATTACCCTTTCATTCTCCTCTTGAGTTGCCATTACGTCTAGGGGAATTCATTACGGTTTATAATTGCCTCTCCTAATCTTCAGATGTCGCCAATCAATGGTCCGCGGAGCCGCTGGAACCAGACAACCTTCAACTGGAGTTGGAGAAGACGCTGAGTCGTGTTCGCAACGCGAATCTGGCAAAGTGCGTTCCGCAACCGGAAGAAGTAAGTTCTCCATCTTTTTTGGGTGAATAGTCGATTTTTCGTGGACGTCTGTCTCATTTTGTGAAAATTCACAACGCCATTGGTATCGTTTAAGACATTGTTTTTAAAATTAGTACGTAACCGAATTATTTATTTTCTTTCTCTTCTTTTATCTCGTAAACTAGCTATTAGTTTAAAACCACTAAGTAACAAGCAACAGTGTTCTATATGTATACTGGTGAATACCCCATTCATCTGCTAAACCAGATTTATAAATCTCTTTAGTTTTGCTAATGTTGTGATAATGCAGGCTATTTCCTAGTTTTTTTTCATTATGAAATTATTGGTAAACGCAATCACATTTTGCCATGTTAGCTATTGGCATTGGTATACAAAAACATAACCTTTCTCTTTCTACCCTCTTTCCCTATGCTGACAGAGGCTGCAAATGGTAATGAAGGAGGTGGAGTCTGAGACATTTGTTCCGAAGGCACAAAATGGGAATTCTGGTGGTGATGGTGGTGGTCTCGTGTTCGACGCGACGGCGGAGTTCTTTAAACAGATCTCCGGTGGACTGCAAAACGATGTAACCGCGAAGATGGTGAAGCGGGAAGCTGAGGCGGAATTGGAGGTGGCAGAAGTGGAGGTCCAAAGGAGACAGCCGGTGCGCGAAAAGGACTCGAGAAGTGAGCGAGCCCCTGAAAAGAAGGAGCGACACCGTGACAGCAGCAGTCGATATACTTCGTCTACCAGTGAATAACTCCTTTCTTACAATCAGTTGTCATTCAGCCTTTCCCACTTTTACCGTTTTCATGTTACGGTGTAGAGCACTCTTCCTCGTCTCATCGTCATTACGAGGAGAAGGCTTCTATGAGCAAGTCATCCGGCAGTAGTACGAGGTCCAAAGAGGGAAAGGAGAGGGAAGATATCAGTACCATCTCCTTTACACCCACTGCGTCCGCCGGAGGAGGAGTGTTTGAGGAGGAACCTGCTCTGAATCAAGGCGTCTTCTCAGCCCTCCTTCTGGCTCAGAAAAAGGGCTATGTGGAAGAGGAGAAGGAGAAAGAGGTAACTTATTTTTGTTCCTCCACTTCTTTTTGGAATAGCATTGGAGCGTAGTCGATGGATTTGAATATTTCTCCATTCGGAGGCGTGTGTATTCTCACGATTGCGATGGAACGTGTCGTAATGTGATGTTTACCGTAAACACGCCGAATAGCAAGATGTATTTCAAAAGTGGCTTTTGCAAAATTGAATGAATCGTATGTTTCCATTAAGCTTAAACTGTTATACCAGTTCAAGGCGTTTTAGAGACACGTTCAGTGCATAGGCGTAGCACCTTTTTTTTGGCTGCAGGCTCACATCTCTTCTCCCAAGTGTGGTTGTGTTTAAGAGTCTTATAGGATGGTGAGAAAGTGCGATGATATTCGGGCTTACTCTAGCTCTAATGTCCCATCGCTTTTAGCGTCCGATGGGCCAACTGGTGAACTTGATGGCTAAACACTACGTAAAGGAGGATGTTCGCTATGACGACATTGACGCGAAGTTTGCCAAACGCGAGCGCTACAATGGCCCTCTGTGCGATTTTCGCGAAAAGTCCAGTTATAAGCCGGACGTGAAACTCTACTACGTGGATGAAATGGGCCGTAACCTCACCCCCAAGGAGGCCTTTCGGCAACTCAGCCACA